CAAAGAATCTCCCTTAGATCGGGTGTATGTCCTTCTTGCTTTGAGGCATTCCTTTCTCAAGGAGACCAGCTTCTCTGACCACCAGTGCAAGGATTTTTTCCTTGGAAAGGCGCCTTTGCGACGTGGCATCGACGCATTGCAAGCGGTGACGATTATATCTCGCACCGCTCGCACCTCTCCATTTAGACTTTTTGGCCTCCTCACCCAACCAAAATCCTCAATGAAGATAGATTCTTCTAGGGACCGGCTGAACTTCTCCTTGTCGAGTTTCTTAATGTTCCATGAGGAGTTTTTGCGACTATGAGCTTCCTGTCTTTTTAAATAGTTAGCTAAATAGTTTAGACGATGCGATCGTTAGATCTATAATTGATCCGATCGCACCTCGTCTAAAAGTCCATGTATTGCCTCGGTTAACAGCTAATAAGTCGTTTTTGGAGATCATTTCTCCAATACGAATTCCTCTCTTGTCGAGTCTCGTCTCACCCCACTCTGGCGACTTTGCGTTAAAATCGCCAGTGATGATGACATCCAGCCTGGATTCTGTGAGGATCGCTTCTAGGTCTTCGATATTGGCTTCGAAGTTTGTCAGTGTGTCGTTGGGTGAGAAGTAGCAGCTATACATACGTATATTAGCTACCTCTATCCACACGAACCCACTGCTCGTCTCCAGAAACTTGTCAACCCGCAATTCTGGGTTGCACAGCTTTATGGCGGCTCTCTTCGCCTTATCCTGATACCAAGGGGCGAGGTCGCTTCCTTGATACTGCTCACTGCAGAACAGGATATCGACCTCATTTTCCCTTGCCGTTTGCATTAGGAGCAACTATGCATCCTTACTTGTATGCAGGTTGACCTGCAAAAATTTTAAGGATTTGCCCTTTTAATCTTTTGCAGTTCTTCCCAGTAAACCGGGCAGGCTCTCTTTCCTGACTCATGATTTGTTTCTGGCTTTCCCAGGTCCAAGCATGTAAGGCACGTCGGCTTAACGTTACAGCTCTTCGCGAGGTGTCCCTCTCCGCCGCATCTCCGACAGTTTTTACTTCTGTCGGGGCCTTTGCAGAATAGGGTTCTGTGTCCGTAACCTAGGCACTTTTGGCACCAAGCTACTTGAACATGCTCGCGAATTTGAGAATTTATCCAGCCGATTTTGATTCGGCCAAGTTTAAGCAGAATGTCACTTTCTGCTTCTGCTAAGCGGATTAGAGCCACCTTAGTACTTCTAAAGCGCGTCAAAAGGTGGCACTCTATCTTTAGATCAGGTTTGCCCAGCTTATCTCTCAGAACTGAAATCACCTCATCCTCCGTCGTGGTTTCATCCAGCTTCTTGATCTCAAGAGACCTTTTATTTACGAGAGCAGTGACCTCGCATGGCAAGGCGCCATGCAGAGCCGAGGACAGTGCTTCCGCAAACTTCAAGGTATCTCCACCCTTTTTCACTATCACAAGAACCTCCTGTTTAAAGGTTCTCCTGATTTTATGAATCACGGTACCAGTGTCTTCTGGTTTAACCTTTGATTTTATCAGCGGCAAGATACCCTCATAAGATTTTGGGTCTCTTGCCGTGATCTTTACCGCTTCCGTGGTTCTAAGCTTCAAAGAGCGTTTTGAGAGCTCTGTTTTCTCGCCTGGGGGCTTCTTTCTTGGAGCCCGTTCCCTTCTTTTTCCAACAACCGTAAAGCCGTCCTTATTGTCTGCTCCTTCTTTTAAGACGGTCTTAGCATACGTCTGGCTAGGACTACTTGAGGACGCCTTTTTTTCTCCAACTAGCGACTCAGAATTAAGCGGTGGAGCATCCTTTCGCTTAATCCTCTTTTCGCTCCGAGTCACTTGTTGGGGACTCTTATCCGGGCTAATACCTTCTCTTGGGCGCTTATTTACGTTCTTTTCCTTATTAGAATCTGTAGCTGCTGCACTATCAAGAGTTGCAGTAGCACTCCTCTTTTGCCTTGGAGTTCCCACAGTTAAAGTCCGTGGCTCCTGATCCCTGAACGGTTCAGGGATAAAACGCAGATTCCTACAAATTGTTAAGAACGCACTCTCCAAAACCGCCACGCCATCCTGGATGTCGCGACTGACGTTCTTTTGGCGCTTGAATGCCTGGTGCACGCTCTTAAAAATCCCGGGAATAGCCAGGAACTGATTTGCGACATTTGATTCGTAGCATGTCAGCTGGCTATCTATTTGGCTGCCTCCAAAATCCTTAGAGTTATCTGCACCGACTATCGGGGCTTGCACCCGATCAGAATCGGTGGTGGGATTACCCTCTTTCGAGGTACCCACTTGGAGTATTTCATTTAAAATTTTGTCCGTTTCATTCATTTTTTTTTATTTCTTTGTCCCGTGTCGAGGGACAATCGGGCCTTAACAAGGTACTACCATCTGGCCAGGATGGGCCCTGAACCGCCTCCGTTAGTAACATAAACGTTATAGCATTGCCGGAGCATTGATGCGACGTCTTTGATATCCAAGGGCACGTGAACATGTATGTTCGGACGTGGAGGTCGATGTGTCTCTCCAAGATAGCAGGAAGTTTCCGCAAAGGGAGTGCATCCTGGTATCTCTTCACAGAGTTTACCCTCATTATTATTATTATTATTATTATTATTATTATTATTATTATTTTTTTGTTTTACGAGGGAAGTTGGAAATCTGCTCATTATCAGATACCTCATGGCCCGTACCAGGAGGTTATGTGGGGATGAACTCCGAGCTACTACAAGGTGTAGCTTCAGCTAAAACAAGTTAGCCTAAGGCTCTGTCGACCCACTAAAACCAACTCCCCATTACCAGGACTCTCTATTTCCACTTGAGGAACTACCTAATGGCTTTACTTCGCAAGTGGAAGTCCTCTCTCTTTCTCCTCTCTGTCCATTGTTAAAAACAATCTTTCCATTAACCACCGGGGGGGGGAGCCGCGGGAGTGGGAGGAGGAACGAGAATTAGTTCCTCCTCCCCCTCTCGCGAATCGTCCCCAGTGATTACTCCAGGTTAACCTCTTCTTCCGTCCACATCTTTTGTCCTCATTACCGAGGTAATGAAGAACTCGATGTGGCGCCAAGAGTCCGCGCTTTGGAGCATAGTTGGGACCATGTCATCAGCAGTGAATTGAGTGTTCACTGCGTCAAACATGTCCCGTATGAGCTCACTCCATTGCTCGCAAGAGAAGAGAGTGTGTTCCGCGTCGTCTATTTCAGCACCGCAATACACACATTTCGCCTCTTCTCTGATCTTAAATCTATGAAGGTACTGACCGAAGCAGCCGTGACCAGTCATCGCCTGCGTAAGGTAATAGCCAACCTCGCCGTGCTTTGTTTCTAACCAAGTGGCGAGGTGGGGAATCAGGCGGTATGTCCACCTTCCTTTGGATTCCACATCCCATCTTGCCTGCCAACTATCGACTAGTCTGATTCTTGCCGATTTCACAACAGAGAGTATTGCATCAACTGTTGACCGGCCTTTCCGGAAGCCAAACTGGTTTTCTGATAGGCTATTTTTGCCTACCAGGATTCTCTGAAGTCTTTTTAGAACCATCCCCTCTAGAAGTTTGCCCATCGTGTCCAATAAACAAATTGGTCTGATCGATGAGACTTTATCCAGAGGTTTATCGCCTTTCCTAAAAAGGACCAACTTTTGCACTTTCCAGTCACTGAGGTACTCTCCGGCTTTTAAACACGCATTAAAGACGTTGAGAAGCAACTCTGGGTATACCGCGACGACCTCTTTTAGGATCTCGCTTGGTATTTCATCCCTGCCTGGCGCCTTGCCATTTTTCAACGCCCTTGCCGCCTTTTTTAGTTCTTCAAGCGTGAAGAGCTCCTCCATCTGTACTACGCAAGTATAGTCCTCCCTGGGGCTCGGTTCCACATGGGGAAACAGCGCTCTTATGATTTTTTGGACCCAGATCGGATTGCCTAGACCCGGGGTTTTTTGTCTTGAAACTAATTTCTTAGTAACAGTTTTAAACGCCAAACCCCATGGATCATTCTCGGTCTTCCCGATTAGGTCCTTCCAGCACTTTCGTTGGCTACTCCTTATAGCCCGCTTGAAGATTCGCCTGGCTTTATGCCAATCTTCTTGCAGCGTGAGGTCTCCCTTCGAGTGGGTATATTTCCTCCTCGCTGCATTGCATTCTCTCCTTAAGCGGGCTAATTCATCGCTCCACTAGTACAGAGCACCCTTCCTAGCTTTTGTTTGGCGCCGGCGAGGCATGGAGCAGTTGCAAGCATCCGCTATAATCTGCTCGCCTCTCGCGCTATATACCCTTTGCAGAAGTTGGCTCCTTCTGCCAGCTGGACCTCTTGATGAGGCGAGCTTCGGCCAGGGTCTTTACCAACTTCTCCCTATCTAGTTTCCTGAGGTTCCAGGAGGGTTTCTTTTTGCCCTTTTGTGGACGATTGCACCCTCCCGGCTCTTCCTCGGAGACTGAAAACTCTATGTACTGGTGGTCGCTCATGGTCACCTGATTCCAATTTCTGATTCTGCGGGCCAGGCGAGGAGATGCAAATGTCAGGTCAAGAATTGACCCTGACGCTCCTCGCCTAAAAGTGAGCTGTTTGCCCCGGTTCATCACCACCAGGTTATTCGCCGAGACCATATCGGTGACCAAGATTCCTCTCCTGTCCTGGCGGGTCTCCCCCCATTCCGACGACTTACTATTAAAATCTCCCGCAATAAGGACATCCCCGCCGAAAGCTTTTATGCTTTCCTCAAGAGAGCGAATCTCGGTGTCGAACTTCTTAAGGGGATCGTTTGGGGAGAAGTAGCAGCTGTAAATACGAACACCCGCCACCTCCACCCAAACGAAGCCTCTATCCGTCTCGAGGAAATCGCTGACAGCGATGTCCGGGTTGCAAACTTGTATCCCGGACCTCCCCGATGCGTCCTGAAACCAGACAGAGAATTGTGGCTTTCTATACTGCTCACTGAAGATCAGTATATCGGCCTTCCTCTGCCTGGCAGTCTGCATCAGGAGGTCCTGCGCGACTTTTCCTCTTCCGAGGTTAACCTGGAGGACCCCGAACTTTGGCTTTTAAACCAGACAGGATTCCCCAACAAACTGGACAAGCCCTGCTTCCCGGAAGGTGGCTTATCTCCTTGGACCCCTTGTCGGAGCAAGTCATGCAACGAGCTGGGCCCTTGCAGGACCTGCTCTTGTGATCCGGGCCACCACACTTCCAACAAGCGTTCCTTCGATCTGGGCCACCGCAGCCTCGTGCCAAGTGGCCGTAGCAAAGGCATCTAAAGCACCCATCTTCTTCCACTCTAGCCCGGATTCTGCAATTAACCCAGCCAATCTTAACGCGACCGCTTTTCAGAAGCGACTCCGCGTCCGCATCTGGCAGACGCAGAATCGCCATCTGCGTGCCGCCGTATCGAGCAACTAGCTGGCAAGGCGCTTCCAAATCGGGCTTGCCCAGACAACTCCGTACTGTCTTTTGTACTCCTTACATTTATACGACCTCGTCGAGACCACAGTCGTAACTTCTGCCTGACCTTCGAGAACAGTAGTCAGCTCGCTGCTGAACCGCGTAAGATCCTGCCCCTTCTTAAGAACCAGAAGAACTTCATTCTTTCTGGATCTACGGACTGACAGGATCTCAACATTGTTTTCAACAGGGCTGACCTCTGCGAACATATAATCCATGATCTTGCCATAATCTTCCTCTTTCTTGGCGCTTATTTTTATGGCATCTGTGTCCCTTCTCTTTTTTTTCTTTCCCCGGGCTTTTTTTTGGGTCCCCCCTCTGGGTTTTCCCCAATTTTTTCTTTCCCACTTTTCTTTTTCCTCTTCCCTGTGGCCTTAATCCAGGTATCCCCATCAATCCCAGCGGTTTCCCGAGTCTCATCAGCAGAATCCTCTTTATCAATCTGCCGAGGTAACCCGGACCCCTTTCCTTTCTTCGAAACTCTATCCTGGGGTGTCGTTGAAGCCTCCCTCTTCTTTCTATCTGAGAGGGGAGTCCCCATAGGACTATTAGATTGCTTCGGGATTTTTCTTCTTGCCTTTAGGAAGAGAGGGCCAGCTTTTAGTTTTTTAAAAAGCTCTCCCCCCTCTTCTCTTAAATCCCTGGCAATGCCGGCGGCGCTTTCACTAAGGTGAAAGGCCTCCACGGCACTGTCCTTCACTGGCTTCGGGTTGTTCTTTAGGATGCCCTCCTTCACAACTTTAAGGGCCCTGGACATTTCCTCCGAAACTTTGCATTGCCTCTCCATAAGAAGAAGCATCTTCTTAAATCCCTCAATCAACAGGGATATATTTGTTTGCCTTGTAGTGGAGGCAAAGGTTTCTACAACCTCTGTCTCCATTTTTGCGTCACCGTTATGGTCAGAAGGACCAGTGTGCTGTTGGCCCCCTCCAAAATCCGTGGGCCGTGCGTCGACCATCGGGGCTTTCACCCGATCGGAATCGACGGCAGGATTACCCTCTGTCGAGGTACCTGCTTGGAGGATACCGTTCGTTACATCACACATTTCATTTAAGGAACGTTCGGTATTTGATATGGGTGTGATAATTAACAGTGTAAGTGTATATGTGTCGTGTTATGTAAGTGGGTGTACCTATATCAGTGTGAGGAAGAAGTGTATTTATGTATATGTTGTTTGAGGAGCTTTGGAGGCCGGGACCAGCCGGAGATCCCCTTACGTACTTCGCGACCAGGAGAATAACGCGTTTATAGCGCATCCCACACTCATACTCAGAAAGAAGCCTCTCCGGAGGGTTCCCCTTTCACCTCACCAACATGAAAGGCGCCGTTTATAGGCTTAAACCTTTCAGATTCATACATCAGCTCCTTCTATCCCGCAAGCTGAATCCCCCCAATCTGCGTCTCGAGCGCATGACTTAACATGATCCGACGTGCCGGCAGAGATGGCTAGCGTGGATAACAGGAGTTGCCCATTCGTGGAAGATGCCGTTTATAGACTATGTCTTACCAATCACCAAGACAAAACAGAACAAAAATTTCATACTGAACCCACCAGTTCAGATTCTTCCTGCCCATTCAGAGGGATATTACGTTTATAGCAATACCCTGCATAAATAACTTTTTCTAGCATGCTGATATCCAGATGGTCCCCACCTCGAAAGCTCTCCAAACTACCCTCCTCCTCCTCGAAGCAACTCAGCACATGTTCACACATTTTATGTAATTTAATACACAAATGGGTGCAAATGAGCAGAGAAGATGGAGTCCCGGGCTTGGGACCGGTTCAAAGCGGAGTTATTATTATTATTATTATTATTTATTTTTTTTTTTTGCTTAGGGAATTTTGGGAAATCTGCCTACAGATACCTTGGATTCCGCACTCCAAGGTTATGTGGGGTTGGTGTGATGAAACAAAAGGAAATATAAAATAGAAAAATAAATATATGAAATAGTAAATTTAATAAACTGGCGACCTACTGCCAGCCCGACCCACTAAAACCCGTAACCCTTCATCTGGAGCCCTTTACCCTCCCTCGGAACTGTCGTAAGACTTTAGCCTTCGAGGGTGGCGCTCCAACTCTGTCGCTAATGCGACTTTCTACTTTTCTCTGCGGTTATCCTGCGTTAATAGTTAAAAATTTTAAACTATTTCAATATAAAGCGGAATTAACAGCACAACAATAATTAAAAATAACAAATGTGTAATTAAGTCTAAAAAGTCAGAAGATAAAATTATAAACGGATATATAAAAAAAAGAAAAAATAAACGCGTATAAAATATTGAAAACATAAAACTGCACAAAGATGAATAAAAAAAACACAAACAATTAAAAAATGGATAAGGACAAATAAATCACAAAATAAATTAATAAAAAACAAACGAACAAAATTAAAAGCTGTTTAAATAACGCTTTTTGGCGGCCGTCGAGATCCTTCCTCGACATAACCGAGATTATGAATTTCTCGACTTGCCGCCAATTCTCTTCCGACTGGGTCATCAGCGATACCATGTTCTCCGGTGTAACTTGACTGTTTACACCTTCGAACATGGCCCGCCTCTCCAAGTCCCAATTCTTGCATGAGAAGAGGGTGTGCTCCGCGTTGTCCTCAGGGAACTGGCAATATGCACACACCTCGTCCTCGCGTAATTTAAAGCGACACAGGTACGAGTTAAAACACCCGTGACCTGTGAGCGCCTTAGTCAAATAATAGGAAACCTGACCGTGTTTCCTATTTATCCAGGTGGCGAGTGCCGGGATAAGGCGATAAGTCCATCGACCTTTCTCCTCACCATCCCATCTTTCTTGCCATCTTTCTATGAGCCTGTGCCTCGCTTCTTTGCGAATCAGCCCTTGCTTGGTCTTAATTCCTCATCCAAGGAACTTCTTTCTTTAGAAAAGAGAAACATTTCTTCCCTTTCCCTCGCCAAAAGATCTGCTGGCGGGACACTTGCAAGGACCTGCACAGCACTCGTAGATACCGTCTTATATGCAGAGATGATACGCGTTGTTATCGATCTCTGCGCCGACATTATCTTTTCACAGATGGTCACACATTTTTTACTCCTCAGGGATGGGGCCCACGCTGGTGCTGCATAGAGCATTTTAGCGTGGGCGACACTCGCCACCAGTCTTCTTTTTTGTTCACGGGGTCCGCCAACATTTGGCATTAGCCGTGAAAGATTAGCCGCACACTCGATCGCCTTATTCGACGCCATAGCCATGTGGTGGTGGAAGTTTAACCTTCCATCCAACTCCACACCAAGGTATTTAATTTGTTTACTCCACTTGACCTCGAATCCGTCTATCACGATTCGTGGGAGCTCATAACCACGTCTGTCTGTGACCAGCAGTGCCTCGGTCTTTTCCAGGGCCATTTCAAGATCTCTGGTATCCAGCCAGCTTTTTGCGAATCGCAGACATTCGTTCACCAATGTCCCAAGAGCCTCCTCACTCTCGGCAGTGCACACGAACAACGCGTCGTCCGCAAAGCCGATGATCATCGCACCTTCGGGTAGATCCATTCGCAGAAAATAATCGTAAGATACATTCCATACAAATGGACCCACCCTCGAGCCTTGAGGAGCCCCACGCTGCATCTCTTCCCTGAGAGTGCAGGTGTCTCCCTCATATATAACCCACCTGTCGCTAATATAATTATCCATTATCCGCAACAAGTAGGGCGGCATGTTTTTCTTTTCCATCGACTCGATGAGATCTTTCCATCTTGCGGAATTAAACGCGTTGCGTATGTCAATTGCTACCAACGCGCAGAAGCTTTTTTTTCCCAGGTCACAATTTGTTTTTTCCTGCTTTGGCTTTGTCCACAACTGCCTGGATGGCATCAACTGTGGACTTGCCTTTACAGAAACCAAATTGGTGATCTGATAGACGATTCTCTTCGGTCAAGTGGCTTTGCATTCTCTGCAGAACCATATCCTCTAGAAGTTTACCCATCGTATCCAACAGGCATATAGGCCTGTACGATGAAACCTTATCTAGAGGTTTTTCACCTTTCCTTAGAAGGACTAACCTCTGTCGCTTCCAGTCGCGGAAGAACTCTTCTCTCTCAAGGCAAAGATTGAAGCATCTAGGCAGAATCTGGGGTGAAGTGTCGATTACAAACTTTAGGATCTCGTTACTTATCCCATCGATTCCAGACGCCTTGCATGTTTTCAATCTTTTGCCTGCTTTTTGCAGTTCACTAAGTGTGAAGAGTTCTTCCTCTTCGACTTTGCAAAAACTCCAGTCCCTTCTAAGGTATGGTTCTGCAGGAGGAAACAAAGAATTTTTTCTACCACACGCACCGAAAGTACACCATTTCCTACGTGTTTAGCGGGAGAAAAGTGTATGATTCCCTGCGAGCGGCCTTGTCCTGAAGAACGGAGGTAAGATTCTGAGCGAACTTTGAAGTTTCACCCCCCTTTTTTACCACAACGAGAACCTCCTTTTTAAGAGTTCTCCTAATTTTCACAATCTCTGTGCCAGTTTCCTCTGGATTTACCGAAGTTGTTGACAGCTTTATAAGATCATAGTAGGTCTCTGGATTCCGGGCCGAAATTTTTATTGCCTCCGTTGTTCTAATTTTGGGGGGGCGCTTCTGAAGTCGCTCCCTCTCCTCCGCTTTCTTCAAGGCCTTTCTCTTACGGGCATCCCGTTTCCTATTGGAGACGGTTTCAAAGTCTTTTTCGTTTCCTGCAAGCACGCCACATGCTGTCAAGTATTTTTGGGATCAGATCGACCTGTTCTAAAACATTTTCTTCGAATCTGCTAAGTCCCACATCCTCAGAATTTTTGCTTTGGCTCTTCCAAAATCCTTGGAGCCGTCTGCACCGACTACCGGGGCTTCAACCCGATCAGAATCGGTGACGGGATTACCCTCATTTGAGGTACCCGCTTGGAGTATAATATCAAAATTTTTGTCCATTTCAT